TCGACCTCGATGGCATATTGATCGTTAGATTAATATATTCTCCAGGAAGCATTAGCGTACACGAACTTCTGGGACGAATATCGCCCTCGACGTTGGCACAACCTTCGACGGTGTACCACGATCAATAATACCACTGAGAGACTAGGTAATATCATCCATTTTTATATCAATTTATTTAAAACAGTCAATTTAGACTTTCATCTAACTGTCAAAAACACGAATGTACGACAATTTTGTTAATTTTATGTCGATACTTTCAAGTTATTTTTTCATTAATCCGTCTGAAATTGTTTATTCGATTAAAATATATAAATCAAATATTATACTTTAAAAGAAACATTAAACTGCATACATCAAAGTCTAATAATACTTTACAATATGATCAACATTCAAGGTTGATTATTTTTTCAACCAGACAGAGTAGAAATGAAAATCGATTTGATCGTGAACAAAATTTTGGAGGGAAATAATTGAAATAGAGGAATATTTCAAAGTCATTAAGAATAAACTATTGTTTCTAGACTACTGTATTTATATTGAATAAGTGTACGAGTTCGTTGCTTTGTAGGTATCATACATTTTTCATTTTTATTTAGATGCTAAATCCAGCTATATTTACAATTATGTAATAAGCTAGATAAAAAGAGAAAAAATTATGATAAAAAGTATAAGTCATTAAATGTATGATGTATTAAGCTATAAACTATTCGAGTAAGTAATAAAAATTATCCATCCTCCATTAGTCTATTAATGAATTAATAGAAATAAATTCAGCTGTCAAAAGCACATTTAGAAAATGAGAAAATAATTGAAAAACAGAGAGAAAGTATGGAAAAAATATTTGGAAGATATTTAATAACATTCTTTCATCTGGTGAACTTGATCCAGTCAAGCATAAGAAGCTTAAACACGTGGGGATTGAATAAAAATCAAACTTTTCGTTTATTTCTGATACCAATGGATAAACCAGTGAATTTGTCCTAATGGAAGTAACTGTAACTCCTGAAAATCTTGGACTGACCCTAGGAATTACCTACCAAATACCTTTCTTCTACTAAACCTACTTTCTCCGACCCTTTTGGCAGTCTGTTCCCTTTTATCGAGCGTGTTCGCGAACACAGCAACAGAGCAATGAGTAGGAAAATCACGGTCGCTGTTCCAACCAATGGAAAACCACCAAATTCTCATGGGAGTTGTTAAATTAATTGCTTACACGTGTTTACTCAACCAACCTCTCCCTTCTCATTTCTCATTTAGCAAGGAATCTGTAAACAATTGGACTCTGAGGTCTCATTAAACCACATTTCACTTACGCCGTATTTTTTTTATCATTTTTTATCGCTCCCTTTCTCAATAGACGCCACAAGAAAACCCTCTTAAATTCACTCTCACGGTCTAGTCAGCTGCTATGAGTCTTTCAATACTGGATTATTCTGTTTAGATTCGAATTGTAATATATCTGAATTAGACAAACAACTTGTCTAATAATAAGTTCCATTTAAACCTCTATTTAAATAATTATACCTATGAGCTGTATTTTTATTTGCACTTAACAAACTAAACTATAATCATGTTGAATTAACAATACATTTATCAAGTGAATTTTAAAATTAAACAGCAAAGTAGAATAAAAAAAAGAGATAAATTTATTTTTTAATTTATATTGATAACTAAAATTGAAGGCATCCGGAAGATTATCCTCCTAATCCTTTTTAGAGAACACCCAGGAAAGTTTTTACTATGATTAGTTCACTTGATAAAAAAACTTTAAAGTCGTTTGGATAATGTCTGAGCTTAAAATTCCCAACTTGAAATTTTTTTCTTATTAAAAATCATTTTTCTCGCTAGATAAAGCTCCAAAAGTACATGAAAATTGAATTAAAAACCAGATTTTATACCGAAAAGAAATTAATCTGTTAAATTAACTAAACTTGTATGATAAAAATGTTATTAGTGCTTTTTTCTTTTTTCTATGGCCTCAAACACTTTTATTACCGCATGATATTGGTCACTATGACAACGTAATCCGCTACATTGTCATTATATACCTGCATAGAGTCTCTTGAATGCATGACAAAGAACAATGAGTCACTTTCATCTGTCTCGTGGGACAATCAAAGCTTCGAAAATTACAGACAACAGAGTATGTTGATCGTTGTTTGCTGTTGATCGTTGTCAAGCGTTCATTAGAACAAATGTTAAACCAATGTTTTCGTAAAGCTTTTACTACCAATGCTTGCTGTAGTCGATTCCCAAAGCAATCTTATGAGAAGAGAATCCATTAGAAAAAGAGCCATTTTCTCTTTCTATCTTTTCTGATGAGGTGCCATATTGAACAAAGTCTCTAACCACGGACATTTGTAACTGACTTCTATTACCTATCGTTTTCTGCACTCTCTCCTATTCTGCCGGCCCATTATCTAAGAGAAAAGGTCAGCTCGCGTACAAGAAACCAGAAGAAAACGTGTTGCAGCAGCTGCAATTGATCGACCATCAGCATCTGGAGCATCTAAAAATGAAAGAAAAAATGTTGCGTTATTTTGTTTTTGTTTTTAAACACTTAATGATCTTGAAAAATACATCCAATAGAAAGGTGATATTTATTTTAACTAAAAATATACTTTGAATTGATCAAGTCTCAATAATCTTCGGATAGCTGATAAAGATAATGATTAATTAATTTAATAAGTCTTTTAATAGATTTAGCTTATGAAAATTTTATACTAATAATTTATGAAAACAAAATAAATAATTCAATTGATCACGTGATGAAACTCGACTTATATTTCTTGCATGGTACTTAAGTATGGAAATGTTTATTTAAGTGCAAATTAGCTCATTTTTTGAATATAAAATTCTTTGAGATTATTGATTTTGAAAGTGTTAATAAAGAAGTATTTTTATTTACAGCTATTACTTTATTTGAAATCAGATCGTTAAATTGTTTATTATGAATAAATATGTTTTGATGTCAGCAAAAATATTAAATAAAAATGAATTGAATTTTTTTTTCAACTGAACATTGAAATTAAAGTATAATTTTTGCTTAATTATTTTTTCTTATTTAATTAAACACAATGCATCTACTTTTAAATATGTTTTTTTAATAACTATTACTGGTGAATAAAATGTATAATCATGATTAGGAGTAAACAGATTTCGCAGGATAATTTTCCTCCCGTGTTCAAAAGTCGTACCAGGGAGTGACATGCGAAGATATCGTGTGCTCATGCTAGTGTTATTATCACGATTCAGAGTATGCACGCCTTTCTCAACAGTACTGAGGACTCAGTGTGTGTTTCGAGTTAGTCTGATACAGTCGTGTTAATTTTTCTTCTGAAATTCAACCTCGTTACCATTGAATAATTTCAATTTAATAGCATGAATTATTTAATAAAAACTAAATAAATAATTTAAATAAAAAAACCAAAGGTAAAAAACAACGTCAAACTAAAAAAAAAAAAAAATTGAATAAATTGATAAAAGTCACGATGACAAAAAAGCCCGATCGATTATTGAGACGAGTGGTTTCAGGGTCAATTAAAACGAATAATCGAAGAATATTGAGCGAATGAGAATGCGTGACGTGAACCGTGAATAGTACAAGTTAATGAGCTTAATCACGAGGTTTTAACAGTCGACCTAGTTTCCACAGAAGAGTGTAGCTTCTGTAGCGAGTTTACAATATTTGTAGTTCTCGTGTTGGCTCATTTACCATGCAATGAAGCTGGGGAGTGATTAATCAGACTTCTCCCTATTCAGGCATCAGCGAGACGATGAAGCGCTCATATAGATGTTGCAAAAAAAGTTTTTTTCATAACCTCTGCGGCAACCGCTGCGGAGTTTCGCGTAGTACTCACGGAAGTCTCCCTCCCCAGGTCAACGTTGGAGGGTCAAGTCAAGCGTTCAGTCGCAAAGCACCTCAGGAAAGCAGTACCACGCGAAACCTCGTGTTCTCTTGAGAATAAGTTCTCTTCTCTAACTCTAATAAACCGCTTGTCATCATTCTGACGGCACGGAAACGTCATCTAGACACTTCCTTCTTGCTCCCTGACGCCAAGACAAACTTTTAGACGTAGTCCGCGCTAAATTCTTCGTCTTGGCGTTGAAAATGTCGCGTACGTGTGTCACCCGGGACGTCGAGGATCAGCACTAGTGTGAATTTGATGCTTTCACGCGCTTGAGCGTCGATAAGCGTCTCCTCACAGACATTTCCAAGGCTTGCCCATGGTCAATATTGACTCAACCGATGGATCCCCCAACCGGGATGCCGCTCCCGAGCAGTGAACTTTGAGTTGATGGAGAACACCAGACATTCCTAGGAGAAGGGAAAAGAGCCAATGTACTAATTTCACCGGACGCCACTTTGATCGATGAAACGTTAATCATCATGAGAGCTTGTAACTGCTACGTTTGAGTCTACTCCCTTTTCTCCTACACCTGCCCAAAGGACGACGTGAAAGCTTGGGTAATAAGATTAGAAATAGAATTAGGAGATATCGAAGCTATTCCACCACCATTACTATAGCCTATAGATACATGACAAAGGCTAAAACTACATTTCACTGCTTGTCGTTTCAACTCTGACGATTTTGTCTTTTTTTTTATTTACTCATTATTACTGTTAATAATAAATTTTTAAAATAAATTAAAATGATTTGATCAAGTTATTCAGTTAAGACTCCTTTTCTTCAATTATAAAGACGTTTACAAATATTTATTTTTTTATTTAATTTATGTAAATTATTTGTTGGAATATTTTTTAATCAAAAGTTACTTTTAAAAATGATAAAAAAATTATTTTTATCCGCAGTTTTGAAATTTATGTTGAAATATCATTTCATTTCTGAATAGAACAGACATCTGTTGACTATCAGCTGAGCTTCTAGGAGAAATATTTTACATTCTCCGGTCGGTAGCTACATTTCTGCTGACATATGTAAAAGTAGTTTTTCATAAAAAAATCTCAGTTCTATGAAGTAAATAAAACTTTTAAAATTAAAGAACTTTAGAGTCTTTTATTTATCAATATTTTATGAATAACTATATTAAATAGTTTCATGTAGTTTAAAAATAATTTAAGTGATCTTTTATTATTCACAAGAGTGCATTTAAGTGAATAACATTATGGGTTATCGTATACAATGAATTGTATAATAAATGATATGCATAAGAAAGTAACTACAAATTGCCTTTATCTTTGTAATGCGAAACTGATATTCGTAATAATTATTTAAGTGCATATAATCTAACATAAAGTTGTTGAATGTAACGGGAGAACTGTGTGTTTATTTTATCGATACAATGCATTCTTGGCAGCGATACATATTCGATTGGAGCACCTGTAGCATTGATGTTATCGAACTTTACTTGGAAACAGAGAGAAAAAGATAAGGGAATAGATTTGAAATTACAGTTGAATAATTCGCTGTTGATACCGCTCTCTTGATACTCGTAAACAATAAACAAACAAAGAACTGAACTAATTTATATATTATGAGGAGAAACTATGGAATATTAATCATTAAATTTTATTATAAAAAATAAAAATGGTAGCTTTTCCGTTCTCTGAGTATAATTATAAATCTAAACAATCTAACAAAAAAATTAAGGTACAAATGAATATCTTTATGTTTCTAAAAATATAAGAAAAGTTCTACATTATAATCAAAATTTAATAATGAAATTTAATATAAATAAATTAATAAAATCATTGATAATATAAATGTTTTAGACGGTTTCTGAAAATGCAAGATTGGACATTAACTCACATCCAGTCGATGACGACTTGGAGTTGTGGGACCAATCTGGTTTCATGCTGAGGGGCGATATTGACGACCACCTTGGGCACTCAAAGTAAGCTAAGTTCTCTAAAATTAATCATCATTTTAAATCAACTTTGAAACAGCAATTAATTATTCATTTACCAGATAAATATTCTTTCATTAATCAACAAAAAGTATTAAAATATTTAATACAAGAATTGCTGATAACTTTCATGAATTTTACAGAGAAAACAGAGTAATAAATTAATTGATGGTTAACTAATGAATAAATTGATTGGATGAGACACAAGTAAAACTAAGAAGCTAAAAGATAAATTATTATTTCAGGTGGGGAGCACAAGGCTGGTGCCGACCCAGCTGTATCCCCATTAGCATAATCCTCATCCTAATCGTTCTGGTTGTTCTGCTACCATTACTGGACCACGCGGAACACAAGCACTTGGGTAATTCTAGTCTCTTTGGAAATGAATCTGAATTCATGTGCATGGACAGCTGCAAAATTTCACTGGTCGAATCAATACCAATCGGCTTGAAATATTATAATAATTCAGTTGTCCACAAAAGCACTTATTCTACATGGATAGAACTTATAGAATCTGCTCAAAGTACTATTGAAATAGCTTCATTGTACTGGACGATGACGAGACAAGATGTATATCCGGATGATAGTGCACGAGAAGTAAAGCTTTTGATTATTAACTAATTTAATATCTCTATGATTTAATAATTGACCTCTTTATATGTTTATTCATTCACATAGGGAGAAGATGTATTCGAAGCTCTTTTGGAAGCCGGAAGGGACAGAAATATTGCTATAAAAATAGCACAAAATGCGCCTTCACAACTAAGTCCAAACTTTGATACTGAATATTTAATGAAGAAAGCACATGCGGAGGTAATCCATCAATTATCTACTCATTTAGTTATTTAAATACTGAAGAAAGGCAGGATTTACAGTTGAAAGTAATCTCTAATCAATTGAATTATAAATTATTCTATTCAAGTTTTCACATCTAAAAATAATTTTGATATTCAATAAAAATATTATGAAAATTTTTATTCAAATTAAAAACAAATAAATTCCACAGGTTCGGAGTTTAAATTTTGCTGCTCTTCTTGGTGGTGGTGTACTTCATACCAAGTTATGGCTTATTGACAGAACTCATGTATATGTTGGTTCTGCTAATATGGATTGGAGATCATTAACACAAGTCAAGGAACTTGGACTAGTTGCAATGAACTGTTCCTGTTTAGTTAATGATTTTGCCAAGATATTTGATGTAAGTATCAAATATTGAATTGACAGATTTTTTAATTCGATTCAATTATTATAACTAATAAAAACTTAGAATCGAATAAGCTAAGCATAAAAAACAATTTGCATAAATTGAAATAATGTTTTAGGTTTACTGGCAACTCGGAGAAGAAGGGAGAATTCCTTCTTCATGGCCAGATACTTTGAAAACAAAAATAAATATAAATAATACTTTAAATTTTACATTAGAAAATAATCAATATCAACTCTTTATCGCGAGTTCACCACCGCCATTATCTCCTCAAGGTCGAACAAATGATTTAGATGCAATTCTTTATTGCATAGATAGAGCAGAAAAATTTATTTACATATCCGTTATGGATTTCGTGCCTCTAACGATCTATTCTCCAAAGGTCAAGTTTTGGCCTATGATCGATAATGCCTTAAGGTCTGCAGCCATAGACAGTCGAATAACCGTACGACTACTGATATCTTGGTGGAAACACTCAAGAACATCTGAAGATCATTTCTTACGGTCTTTAATGGATTTAACAAATAGTTATAAAAATGTGAAGATTGAAGTTAAAAGATTTATAGTTCCTACAAATCCAGATTTAGATAAAATACCATACTCAAGAGTTAATCATAATAAGTACATGGTTACTGATATAGCTGCTTACATTGGAACCAGCAATTGGTCTGGGGATTATTTTATTGATACTGCTGGTAAGTCAATAAAAAAATTTAAGACAAAAATAAATAATTCAAGAAATTGAATTAATTTTCTGTCTCATCATATCTGACAACTGGTATATTTGATATTTTTTCTTTTTTAAGGGATAGGTGTTGTCATTGAAGATGTTGGTCATAAAAACAATGGAAGCCTTCGACAACAACTGGAAGAAATTTTTCTTCGTGATTGGAATTCACCCTACGCATTTTTACAAAATGTAACAGATACTGATCATTCAGGGCCACAGTTAAAATCAAAAATTAACTTCATGCCGTTTTTCAATCATCGTGTAAAAGTATGAATTAAAAATTTAAAATAATTAATAGTTATATACAAAAGATATATACTAAAATGAAGAGAAAAAAATATATATTTTGTGTTTTGTATATAATAAATAAATTGTTCTCGTCATATTATTTATAGTTTAAATATAAACCTAAGGATAATTATAATAACCGTGAAAAATCAAAATTTATATTATGTTTTTTTAAACATGGAAGAACAAACCTTTCACTGCTAGATAAAAATTTTTTTACGCTTGAAAACAACGAATTTCAAGTTTCATTTCAACAATAAAAACATTGAAAAGTTGAAAAGCTTTTTTAGCAGAAATCAATTCATCAGCCAGTTGTTAAATGTCTTCTATTTATAATACCAAGTATGTTGTTATTCAAGGAGTCTTTAAATTCATGGCAATAATGCTGTAAGTTGTGTAATGTTAATAAAAAAATCTTGAACAAAATCATCAATAGCTGTTATTTTTAAATAAAAAAACCGTATTCTAAACTTTAGCCATGTCACTTTGTATTATAATCAAAATTCGGCTTCACCTGAAAACTGTAACTTCTAGAAGTCAAACACCTTGGCATAACCCACGCAGTTTCGGCTGCGCCATCTTGCGTTCCTTTTCTGAACTGCTACAAACCTCAGTTTTTTCACTTCGTAGAATTCATCTGTATATTTTCTGCACTCGTGTTATTATAATTATTATTATAAATTATACTTCGATTTAACTTGCCGGTGCACCATTTGTTCATTCAGCCGAGTGCAATAAACTTAAGTTCTGATCCTTTTTGATACACAGTTATATTTAAATCATAAAAATGTTGAAGGTAAAGTATTTAAAAATATCTAACCAATTTTATTAACGAATTGAATCAATTTTTGTCAACTTTTCTTTATTTATTTGTAAATATATGTACTTCTTACTTAGATTTCCTTTCATTTGCAAAAAAAAAAAATATTTTTAAGACTTTTTTTTCTTATTTAAATTAATCAAACGGTAATTAACGACATAGTAATTGTTAAATTTGTTATTCTCTTTCTTATTGGTAAATCATAGTAAATTAAAATAAAAACATTTTTATCTTGTTTTTTTGCATTTTTAATCGTGCATAATTTGCAGTACATTCAATGATTCGATGGTCCAAAGGTTACTGTAAGAATTATCATAACCAATGATAATACAGATAAAAAAAGAATTACATTCATTCACTTTAGAATAAATTACATTATTATTAACTTTTATTTATTTTAAAAATTTTAGGGATTTACAGCTTTAGTAACTGGAGGCGTTTCTGGATTAGGACGTGGTACAGTTGAAAGGTTTGTCAAACAAGGAGCACAAGTAGTAATTACTGACCTTCAATTAGCATCTGAAAAAGGAAAGGAGCTTGCTACATCATTGGGATCCAATGCTGTTTTTACTCCTATGGATGTAAATAATTTCTACTTACATTTTTAAATCTGAGTTTGTGAATTGTCAAATTTGAATTACCTGTTTTTTTTTGCACAGGTAACTTCAGAAGAAGACGTAACGAAAGCTTTAGAATTAACCAAAAATGAATTCGGTAAGCTCGATGTACTTGTGAATTGTGCGGGTATAGCAGCGGCTTTCAAAGTCTACAACTTTAACAAAGAGAGGCCCCATTCTTACGATACTTTTAAACAGATTATTGATGTCAATACTTGTGGAACTTTTAATGTGATTCGATTAGCAGTAGGCTTAATAGGGAAAAATACACCTAATAATGATGGACAACGTGGAGTTGTGATAAATACCGCTAGCGTAGCAGCTTTTGATGGCCAAATGGGTCAAGCAGCTTACTCAGCAAGTAAAGGAGGAATTGTAGGAATGACTTTGCCATTGGCTCGTGATTTAGCATCTCAAGGCATAAGAGTCTGCACTATTGCACCTGGATTATTCGATACACCTCTGTTGCAAAGTCTGCCTCCTAAAGTCCGTGATTTTCTAGCAAATTCTATACCGTTCCCACAGAGACTTGGTCATCCTGACGAATATGCTCAATTGGCTCAAGCTATTGTTGAAAATCCTCTTTTAAATGGAGAGGTTATTCGTCTTGATGGGGCTCTTCGTATGATGCCTTAAATAAATGACGAATTTTCAAAAACAACTGGATCATTTTTAATTGAACCATCATTCTTGAATTAAAAATATTTTTTTACGAATCAATGAAATTGTTTTGAATACCTTGTTAAACTGTATATAATAAATTTTTATCAGTGCACCAAAGTTTTTTTTGTTATATTAATGGAAAGTTTTTTCTATCTTTATGACGTTAAGAAATAAATATAAATAATCCTGAAATACTCTATTGGATAAAAATTATAACAAAACCTTTAACAGATCTTTGATGCTTGTAAAATAGTGATAGTGACTAATTAAAAAAAACTTTTATAGAAGCCAAACTTGTTATTGTCTAATAGCTACATAAATATTTCAAAATTCAGTCGTTCTAATACACATATATTGACAATATTATTTATTATTTACTTTAATGACTGTACAATTAATATTTGTATTTATTTCATGATTCGGTTTGTCATAGCGTTTTAATCCGCTGCAAAAATCGCAACGTACAATAAGTCACTAGAGTATTGCCTAGAAAAGAGTTGTGTACATAATAATATCAACATAAAAATATTCAATCAATTAGAAAGGGAACGATGGGATGTTCGCGACATATGGGCAAGGTAAATGCGTTAGTCTTTACTCCCAATGACCTCTGGAGAACTCCAGAATTCCAATAAATTCTGAAATTTATTTTGATGATTTTTCGGAAGAGCCAGTTTGTTATTTAAGGCAGGATAATTCTCATCTCCGAGGTCTAGTCAATCCTAGGCGTTCGATTCTTTTAAATTTTGTAATTTCTCCAGCTGATCAGGCTGAAGTTCATCTGGAATACTAGCCCGTCCACCAACTAACATTTTCTCAGGAATAATTTCGGGTTGTTCGTCGCTTGTTTCATTTTCTATTTGCATTTCAATAACAGTACCTCGCGAAGGCAGTGAAGCAGAATTTTCAGCTGTACTAGGCCCAGAAGTTGAATCAGCTTCGCTTCCAGAGCTGCTACTTATAGGAAATGGAGCAGAATCTGCCGGTTGATCGTCAACAGTTGATTTTTCTTCAGTTTCTTCAGTGTCTGTTCGTTCAGAAATTTTTTTTTCTTTACCTCCTTTGCAATCTTTGGTGTCTTTAGTTTCATCTTGAATAACTTCAGGAGGTTGTTCATCATTTTCAACCACTTCAGTATCAACATCTTCTTTTTTTGTTTCTTCTGTCATTTCAGGCTCTCCTGGAAATGGACGATCTATTTCTTCCATTGGTGTGGCAGCTGTGATGACAATTTGAGCTACTCCAAGACCTGAGTCATTATCTTGATTATCAGGTATTTTATCGGATATTGTCTTAGGCCTTTCTCCCACTTTTTCTCTATCTTGCTCATCTTCCTGCTAATAATGAATAATAATTAACTACTTCATTAACGTCATGGAAATGATCTAAGTAATTGATTTACTAACTACAAATTATTACTCAAAAAAATATCTTATATAATTCAAAACTTGTAAAAAAGTTCTTTAAAAATTAATTAAATTTATTAAAAATAGTTATTAATGTTTACCTGGATACTAGTTTCATCCGTAACTTGAACGACTGCACAATAATATGTTTTTAGAAATCTTTTTATAATCATTGAATTTTGAAAATTAGTATGTAATAAAACATTACCTATTATACCCGGACCTTCATTGTCTTTTTCATCATCTTCAAATTGACTTCCATAATGATCTTTCTGATCTTTAGGCAAAATCATAGAGAATCCATCTGACTCGCCATTAACTATAGTAGGTTTTTCTTCACCGGAATCTACTGAAAAATAATTTTTTCTTTGCAAATTTATGAAAACAAAAGATTTTCAATTATTCTCAGAATTGATTTTTACCATTAAACATTGCACGAGTAATTTCATCTGCTAAAACAAACTCTGGAACATCTGGAGGAGTAAATACTGGTGGCGCTGAACTTGGCGGTGTTACATTCTCCTGTTAAAAAAATTATCACAATAAAATACCAAAAATTAGGAAATATGTAATTCTTAAAAAATATTTATAGATACTTATAATTCTAAAAATTGATTCGAAATTTAACGATAAAAATAAAATCAAAATCACACATCACTGACCTGTGGTGTTAACGGAGAACCATCAGGAGCACATGGTTCAACAACTAGTGAAGGGAAAAGTCCTATTTTACCATGAATTTCACCTTCCCACCAGCCATCATCTACATCGTGAGGTTCAGTTCTTATAACTCTAAGTACATCGCCTTCCATAAAAGTGAGTTCTTCATCACAAGTTGCATCATAATCGTAAAGAGCAATACAATAATTTTCAGACTTGTGATCAACAACAGGCTCATCTTCAGGCATCATTTGAACTGGTTCTGCAGCTATAACATGAGCATCTGGATCAACTGCATCATGATCATCAACAGTATAGTCTACAGATGAAAATGAAATTTGCGTTGTAAGACCAGGGCCATGAGAACTAAGTCCACCAGAAACAGCTGGAACTTCTCGTTCAACATCTAGATAGTTTTGTGGCACAAATCCTTCTTCTCCACGATAATTTCTCGCTCTCAACCAACCATCTCCATCACCTTCACCGACAACTTCTAATTGTTCACTCTCAACAATTGACAGCTCATCAGGGTTTTGGGCCTTTATACGAAGAAAATAGTTAATTAAAAAACTTTGTTCTTTGATAAAAATAATCAAGAAATTACAAAAAAGAATATTGTAGCACAAAAAAAAGTATTTTAAATTAGATGATAAAGAATGGAAAAAATTTTACCGTGTAAGAATAAAGCGCAGTACATTTATAGATTTGATTATCTACATTAGAATCAGTAGCTTCTACACTCTCCCCTGCAACCTCTTCTTTTTCATCCGTCGTACCCCAATCAATAGATGTTGGATCGTCCCAGTCTGCTGCCATTTGCTCCATTCGTTGTTTTTCTTCTTCAAGTAGGGCTGAAAGAATTGACAAAACCATAGAAAAAATGATTGACAATTGCATTTCCTTATGATGATTAAAATAATTTTATGAATAATTTACCATCAACTTCAGCACTATCATGCCTTTCTCGTTCATTGTAGACATCTTCATCATGCTGTTGAGAGGTCGTCCGTCCACTTCCAGGCCTTTCTACTGTCGTTAAGTCACTACCACCATCATTGTCACTATCATAAAACGAATCTGACGATGGATGTTCCTGTATGTTTATGAATTAATCGATAAATTCATTATAAATCATTGATTAAACTCCTTTGATGTTAAAATTGCATAAGTTTTCATGTAATTACCGCTACTCCAGATGCATCAGTTCTAACAGACAAAGAGCTTGCTGAGCGGGGCATATCCTGGACACTTAAAGTTTCAACTTCCTGTAGGAACTCGTCTACGTTTACTGAACAAAAATGAAATATTGTAATTAAATTACAAATCAAAAATTTCTTTTTTATTTCAGGATAAAATTAAAAAATATAATTTTTATAACTAATTGTTCGATTAGTCTAGATCGAATTGTTAACTAATAAATAAGTCTTTCGTTCTCCTTTAGTTTATAAAATTAAATTTTGTTTAACTCTACCAACCTCCACCAGCGCGTAAACACTCAATTCTCGCTTCAGCTTTCAATTTAGCAGTCTGTAAATAATAAAATTTAATTTAAAAATATCCAAGTTAAAATAAAGCTTAATGAAATTCTTATGTCAACTTAATTAAATGTCTTTATACCTCAGCTTGTCTTATTGCTTGCTTTAATTCGTCCATTTTTGTATCTATATCCGGTCCGTTTGGATCATTTGGTTCGGTCTGAATGAATAAATGAAGAATAATTAATTGACACTTTATTGAAATGTTTTTTTGTAAAAAAGTTTCATTGTATACAAATAAATAACACAGTACCTTCTGTCCCGACTCTTTTAGTTGCTGAAGGGCTTGTAATTTTCGTGTACTCTCTCTAATATTATTAATTTCTCGAGCAATTTTAGCAGACCATCGTCGGGCTTCTTTTCCTAGCGTCGTTGCAGCAGAATGATCCGCAGTTACCCTAAGTAAATCAGAGAATTATTAATAATATATTATTTTAGAGTGTTACAATTTAATGTTCAAAAAATAAATTATACTATTTTCAGTCAAGAATTCTAAGAAAACATTTTGCATGCATGTAAGCTTTTAACTTTTCCCTCACCTATCTACTGGATCGTTATCACACGGTTCAAAATCATATTGTATGTGTTGTTTTAATACTGGGTAATATAAATTGCAGCATTGAATATTGTACTCTCTGGTAAGCTGTAAAAGTTTTTTTATCACAATAATATATTGAATACTGTATTGACCAATACACAAATCAATAGTAAAAAAAAAATGAATATGTTCCCAAAGATATAAGGGACAACGAAAATAATTCTAGGTCATTTTTAACTGATGTTGATGAGCATTGATTAAAATATTTTATACGAATTAATTTTACTAACTTGTTGAGCTTGATCTCGAATTTTTCCAAAACTGTTTTGAGTAGCCATACAGGTAAGCAGTTCAGTTCTACCCATGAGTGTTAAGTATTCCTGAACTTTATCATAAACTCCTTGTTCCAGAATATGCATTGCGTTCTGTAGATCAACAGCAAAATAACGATTCTGATGGGCGTTGGCAGCAGCAAGGCTCAACAAGTAATCATTACGTGCTCCTGTCGACTTTTCTTCCAGAGCGTCTCGTTTTGATGTAACCTGCCGTGATACACAACATCATCAGGTCAATGACATAATGAAATAACTGCAGTTATTGTTGTTCAAAATATCTTTAAACACGCAAACAAGCTTTAGATTGAACTTTCGTTACCTTGGCGCTGTTTTTCTGTAGGGAAGTTATTGACTGAAAGAATGAACCTTTTTTCTTTTTCAATTTTTCTTCAATATCTTTGGCTTTATCACGAACATCATGAGCACTGTGCTCTTCATCGAAATATAACTTCTTCGTCTTATCAACATCCTGGACACACAACTGCAGTTCCTTTTGTACTATCATCAGTTGATCGATCGCCTACAAAATGACACCAGTAAGTAGTCCACTTTACTACACCCAACTAAATAATACACAGTTAAAAAATATCTTCAATGATTTAAATGTTTGATAAAAATCAAATAGAGATATTTATCTAGTTGGGGGATTGATGTTACTTTTATTTTAAAATTTTTAACTTAAATTTGATTTATATTGCCAGATTGAGCACATAATTCATGTTCACCAGCAAATCGATGTTTAATAAAACTTTTTAAATTCTTTTTAAAAGTTTAAATAATATTCATTAATTTATACTTTTATAAATAATACCTTTTTCGATATCTGCATTTTGTGTGCTCTCAAAACTTTGGCATCATCAGCAATTTGTTGTTGAAAAACTTCTACTGCAGCTAATCTCGCTCGTGCAAGTTTCTCATTTTCTTCTAAAACCGTTCTCCAAACGTTCCACATATTCCTAAAAAAACATCAATTAAATTATTGAAAGAATTAACTGATTAATAAATATTGTTTGGTGAATATCTAAAAGTAAAATCAATGTTTAAAAGTGAAATATCATGCATTCAATTCAATTTATTTTTTTCTACTTTAATACTGGATCAAGACCAAAAAATTTTTAATTAATTTTGTGTGATGATTATTCAATTGAAGAAATAATGAGTTTATTATATGAGTAATTAATACGTTAAATATTTCATTCATAAATTTGATGATAAAAAATTATAAAAAAAGAATCAAATAAAGAACATTTTTTTCTACCATAATTAATCAATCATTTCGAATTATTACCATTTTTCGTCGGCATTATCAATTTTTATATCAGGAATATTCGGGATTTTTTTGTTCAAATATACAGATGATATTTTAAGTAATGCCTGAAAAAATTATTTAATAATAATTAATTCTAAAATAAAAAAATAGAATAATATTTTAAAATAAAATTTACCTCTGAATAAGATTTTTCGATGGCTGATTTTTTAATCGTAAAATTTCTAAAAAAAAAAATAATTGAAATAGTAAAATTTTATTTAGTGCCATTAATAATAGTAAATGTCATGTAATAAACTCACCGAATATCTTCTAAAAGGTCACACTCATGTTGATTCTTAGCCTGTAACTTTGCTACTTGCTCTGAATGTACATTCTTCAAAAATTTGGCATAATTTCCCTGAAGAAAAATGGTAAAATGAATAAAAAATTATTAGTCATATCATTTATTGATGATCGAGAAAATCCTTTGGAAATATTCAGAGTATAAAGTTTGGGGTGAAAATTTAATGACATAGATTCGATCCTTAGGCGGGCGGTGAATGTGCATCGATTTTCCCAGGCGATTCGAGGAGTATTATGTGAGTGGCCACATAACGATTGCGGAATCGCTTACGTTCCGGTCTGGTTATTCATTATAAATCATAACTAATCAATATAATTTAATTAAACATACTTGAAATAGCTCTAATGTGAATAATCCGTTTACTACTACTCCATTGATTTCAAATAAAAATAAACTCATCACAAAGTCCGATTTTATCAACAACTGAACTGATTCAAAAAATTGTGGCAATTAAAGATATAAATATTGGCAAAAAAAAAAAATTATCATTCAATGTTTATTATCAACTTGGGAGACATTTTTTTTTGCTGTTGAGGAAGCAAGAAAATAATAACTTACTTTCCTCGGTGGTGGTTGCATGATCGACCAGCGGCTCGGCAAGCCTCACCACTTTAACCCGTTTTTCTTGATGAAAAATTATACGCTGTTAACCCGACGCGAGTCTGTATGCTACTGGCCTCTTGCCCTCAACTTTGAGTATTTATTGATCGTCCTGGCGCCTGCGTTTTCTTCAAAGACGTACGTCGTTTAAATTCGTGGGAGGGTACGCATGTGCCGCGTGACAGGACTTTCCACCCACGACTTTATGAGGGATGAAAATAATTCTAGTTCACACGATCTGTAATTGTTAACTACTATAATTTAAAACGCTTGTCATTGTTCTCTGGGGATGGGTGTATCACGTAATCTAATCAAAATGTAACAACAATTCTGTTTGAAGTAACGCAAACAAAGAAAACGGGTTGATGGCATCGTATTTTAAAAAAAAAACATTGACTGCCTAAATATAATCGTATGTACTTTAACTATTTCTATATATGTTGACAACTTATTTTACTACAACAATATAAAAGAGTTTTCTAAAGTTGTATGTTTTGATTAATCTGACAGTTTTATTAATAGCTGAGATCATAGATGTGATGCTATTGTAACTCAAATTTTCAGTATGAAACATTACACTGATTTGGTTCTTTCATACTCTTGAAATGTTATTATTTATGATCCACTTATAAAAATTATGACATTCAGCTTTGTATGGAAGAAGGGAAGTTATGTCAACATAACTTTGATTGTTTTATTGAATAAAGAGTGACTTGATATAAATTTGTGAATCTTATTAAATGAAATTACTTATAGTATTTGTTGGAATTTTGGTTTTTTGTTGGAAAATAGTTGATATATAACAGAACCATTTCAAGTTCATAAAATGAATTGTATCGTCTATTAAAAAACTTGATTTGAATAAAGAATTAAAATTAAATGACTTAATAAATAAGAACAGCATGAAGAAATTTATTCCAACATTTATTTAAATCACGGTATAAAATGAAAAAGCGCATTACAAGATAAATCACAATGCTGGAACAAATACTGATATTTGAACCGGATATGTAATTAATGACTAATGAGAAAAAATATAAAAATTATTTACAATAGTTTAAAATTTAATATTTAATTGGTTCTCGAAAAAATTGGCCAAGATTTTATGATACGTAGAGTCACATTGCATCATCAGTAACTAAACGACCAAGATCATCAGCAAGTAAAGCCATAGCAGCACCTTCTCCATCGAGATCGGATCCAGCCGGAAGTGCAAGCTCTGGTGTAGGAGCTGGAATAGCTGCCTGAAGTAATGCAATTGCATTGATTGGATTTCCACCCGCATCAAGTGCTGGATCAGCAGTTGCTTCTGCAAGATTTGTCACCGATTTCGATTTTACACATTGAAAATCAACATGACGACTTTTAGCTTCTTCTTTTTCCCAAGACATGTGTAAAAAGGGTCTTTGAACATAATTATAAATCACTTCGGCCCTACCACCAGCTCGTTTTTTCACCTTCTCTTTATAGGTAGGATACCCTTCAATACCTAAGCGAATTTTTTTTAAACCTCGCTCTTTCATAACTTGTTTTGCAACGTCGCGATTTTCGATGTATTTAAAAAAACGATACATTGCTGTACTATTGATAGCTGTAAGAAAATAAATAAGTTTAATCATGAATTTATGTCACACATTTCGAATAAGTAGTTTATACTGTCATTTACTAAAAAATTAAAAAAAAAAACATTGGTTAAGTGAAGACGATGTAGTGTTTTATCTTTAATATAGAATAATCATGATAATAATAATGTGTGAATCAGAAATAGAGAGTTCATCTAAAAATAAAGTTGATAAAATTATTTTTAGAAAAAAAACTTACTTTCAGAATATTCTTCCCCCATCTGAGGTGGATACTCTTCATCCCAATCAACAACATCATCTTCAAGAAGTACTACAATATGACATTCACGATCCCCCTTTTTTGCTCTATTTACCATTAACGGTAAAATTAATTCTTCGAGAAAAACCTCGAATTGGCATCGGGCTCCTTCATTAGATAATTCATGTAATAATCCTCCTAAAGAATCATTTTATTTCAAAATTTATTTAATAAATATTAGTGATATTTTGAAAAGAAAAACTGAATTGTACTTACGAAGATTTTGGCATTTAACAGTATTTGCATCAAAAGGTACAAGTAAATAATCACAAGCTTCTCGAAGTTCTTGAACAGATACTGTAGGTGGACAACGAATGACACCACCTTTGTAATACTCTAAAATAGCTCTGAACACCATAGCAGATATGCCGTCAGCTACTTCATACTCGCCACGTTCATTTGGTTGTGCAAAGTCAATGCCTGAACTAAACATCCGGCCCAACATAGTATTTGGATGTGCAGTGAAAAGAGTAGGATCAAGAATAAATCTAGTTTTATCAACAATTAATGTAATTCTATCGTCACTAATTTGATTGCTAGCAGCTGAAGACATGTTACTAGTCTGATGACTTTCACGACTTTGATTCTGTTGAGTTTTGTTCACTCCAATTCCTGGGCGCATTCTGAAAGTAAAATAACAAAATTTCATCAACTTTTTGCTATAAATAGATCACGTTTTAAACATTTCTTTGATTTTAGATTGAAAAACAATTTCTATTTAACGCTTCAAGCAATAACACATGCAAAATGAAAAATAATCTATAATTACAAGTATTTAGAAATGATAAAACTCCATTAAATATTAGTAGAAACATAAAAATCATCAATTTCCATAATATTAGAATTTGATTCGATATTTTGATTTAACAAACTCTATTAACTTACTTCAAATACTGATAATAAACTACTGATAACTATTAGACTACATTATATTTAGTTATCTATAATAAACTTTACATTTCAATCTTCTCCAACAATTCTAAGCTTTTGTTTCTCTAGTTTTATTTAATCACTTGATCCTTTCACTTTTACTAGGATTCATTTATTGCAAATAACTAACTTGTTACTAAGATTGATAATGGAGATCAGATTTATTACGAAATAAATTTTCGATATTCTCATGATAACTACGTGTTGCATTAAGCAGTATTGTTTGAACAATTTGTTTTCTCATTGTATGGCTATCTCTATTTACATGTACTCTTATTCTACTTATTTTTACCTGAACTGATGATTTATTGATCTCTGTCCACTAGAATCAAATGAATGACATCTTCGAGGATGACTTCCATCCTTTTGTACCAGACAAGGTTTTGGAGTTGATGAGCCAGAATTACTACGTGCAGATAACCACATTTCCTTACTAATTTGCTAGTATGGCGCAAGCATTATCGAATATCTAGTGTTTCTATTTTTATCAGATGCTATCTGTCTATATATCACATTTAATTATACTATTTAAACATCGCATTACTACCATTCTTACGTGCTATGATAAAATAATCAATGAAAATTCCCGGACTAGAAAAAAATGATAATGTAATTGAGTAAAATTAACAAATAATTTATTATAGAAGCATTTAGAGTGTCATGCAAAGTAACTTGTTGAAAAAAAAATTACAATAGCATGCTTTAAGCATAGTAGTTGGACGAATCAGCATTAGTTCATCGATCAATTAAGCTATTCATGTTCTAGCTAATTGTTTTTATAAAATTACAGGAAGGTACAAACTTTTCGTCGATCACTGTATTGAAAGAATGGTTTTTCTTGGTCATGGACTAATTCAATACTAAATAACTAATTTACTTATTGATCAGTTTTTTATTTAATAAGTGATTACTAATCTCACCTTAAATTATTCTTGCAAACACGAAATCGTCCACGTCCATCTGTCTCTTTACAGTCAGTCTCTGTATCACTACTGCTGTCTTGAAGATAATTCAAACGGTCTGCAGGATTTGACATATCAGACCCACTGAACAGAAGAAAATCCAAGTTTATGTATATAAACAATGGCACATTACATTGCTAATTAAATTATGTGTGTACTCACACAATTCAACTATTGTCTTGAACATTTAACTCGTTTAAATACAAAGAAATCAATTATGCAAAATAATTTTTGTTTAGTTTTTTGAATTAATTACAGAAAATGATTGCTTAGAATCATCATTTACTTTCTAATTTTAGATTGTTCTTTGTTTTTTATTATTATTATAAAGGAATTTGTTGTTCTCAATATTTAGATTACCCTAGTGAATATATCAATAGATTTTCATGTATCTAATGTTTACTTACATGGAAAACAGTGGACAATAATACTCGAATCTTCTTCGAAGCCACTTTGATGATGAACAAATTTCTGGACCACAAATATCGTAACTTGGTTTATTCCATAAAATAAATCGCATTCCAATGTGACTGGTCAGTAATTATTGAACGTGCTGAACGACTCATGCAGAACCGATAGACTTGCGAGAGTAGTGACGTCTTTTAGGTTTCAATTTTCATAAGCACAATAATAGCATATACATATATAAAATTCTTAGTATAACTATTTTATATAAAACCTGATATATGGTTAAAAATCAAATTATAAAAGTTGAATCGTTTTGAATATGTTAACACGTTAAAAATGCAACATTTGTTTAACATTTTTATTAAAAAACTTTCAGAATTGTAAAATATTTTGATTGACTAGTGGTGGTTTTTGGAACTATATACACAAAACAGCCATTTGTTTTGTAGTCGATAATATTTATTTGTAGTGGTATACTTTATCGACGATAGGTTAAAAATGTTTTTCGTAATCTGTTATTTATTGTCGGTATAGAAGAGAACGATATTTCATGTCATTGCGAGAATGTCACCCAACATACAAACAGTGTATGTTTATATTTATAATGTAAAATAATGTATTAATTGACAATAAATTAATTTACGACTAAGTTAATTAACAAATTAATGAATTCATCAAAAGTTATATTTAACAAGTAGTATTGATTATGTGGAAAACGGCCTTACTTCTTAAATAGTTGGTAATTGATCTAACTAGTGTTAAAAATAGGTTAGAAAATATTGTTTAGTCAAAACGAAAAATATGTTTAATTCATCAGAAAATATTGAAATATTTTTGAAAAAAATTGGAACAGGAGTAAGACATTTAAATGATCCATTTTTTGACGAATCTTATCGTGTTTGTAAAGTGTTTCAACGAACTGGAATCACTATTGAAGATAAAGAGCAATTATGTCATCAAATGTCAGTATTAATAATTTACTTTTTATTATTCTAATAATTTAAGATTTATTTTTATGTATTGAATTCAAATGTTAATAGATATTTATTACAGGATGAATGAATTCAGTTGCAATGCTCCAGGATGCCAAGCAAGGTTTCGAACTCTCATAGACTTTGAAGTTCATTATAATAGTGTCCATAGATTTACTTGTTCTGAATGTAAGACAATTAAACCTAACCCTAGGTTACTAGAAATTCATATACAAGAAGTTCATGATAGTTTCTTCAAAATTCTTGCTGAAAAAGAACCAATGGTAAAGTTTCCAATTAATAAATATATCTAATAAAAATTTGAAAATATTCAATAAAAATAATTCAATGTTTTATGTTTCAGTACCAATGCTTTGTTTCGGACTGTAATGTGAAATTTAAAGATGCAACAGAAAGAAAACATCATTGTATCATAGTTCATAAGTTCCCTAAACATTTCAAGTACAAGGAAAAATCTCAAATTAAATCTGATAAAAATACCAAAGAAAATGATGTATCAGAGCTATCAATGGAAATTGATCAACCAGTAAAAAATATGCAAAACAAGAAAAAACCTAATATTAAATTGAATAAAAATCAAAAAACAAGAACATTTATATCTAACATGAAAACCACTGGTCAAGTAGCAGCATCTGAGGATAAATCGTGTTCATCCCCAGAACAAAAGTCGATAACTTCATCAGCATTGCAATTTATTCCCCGTCAATTGACCCACAAGTCATATTCGAAAATTCTTACTCAGAATAAAATAGTTGAGAAAAGAAATCTAGATTCAGAGAATGTAATGATGGAGTTGAGTGAAGCTTTGCCGTCTTAATGAAAAACTAAATCATGCAATAGCAAGCATGAGGTAATAATTATGGTAAATATTAATAATAATTTTATAATTTAAGCATGCATAAAACAATAAAAATACGTCAATAATTATCAAGAGGAATAGGTTTTTAATCTTTAAATTTTTCTCTATAAATACATCTTATTGCAACAGTTTCATTTATATACATGAGAATTAAGGTAGAGATCATTCATATTATAAACTGACCAATAATTGTATATTATTTAGTCATCGCAATTATTTACAAGAAGTTTTATTCTAATATCATATCTTTCTTTCTCCCATACATTCTTATTTCAATAATTATATATTAGCTACAATTTTAGCTAAATATTGACAAAGTACAATAAAGTCTTTATAGAATTATCACTTATCGAAAATAAGTTTCTTAACAACGGTTGTATTGACATTCAACTTTGGATTAAGCTGTTATTAGATAGTTCATAACACATTATTTATGTCGTTTAATTTTTGTATCTATAATTTGACGAAATTTAATTAAAATCATAATGAAAATCGACATAAAAAAAAATAATCGCCTACATTAGCTACTAATATATTCCTTACATCAGATATAACTGAAAAAGATATTTAATGTACGGCCTTGTATTAATTATCTCATTTGATTTTATTCTTATTAAGTATGAAACTTAAACCGAAGTATTTACAGAAGCTATAATTTATTAGTAATATTAGACTTAAATTAATTATGTTGAATAAACCAAACACCGCAATCTGGCAGTTTCATTTCTTAATGCAACTATTTCATATTTAAGTTTCATATTTTCCTGCTCCAAAAAGGCTGCTCTAATTGCAATCTCATCTTCTTTGGCCCTTCTTGCATCTCTAGACCGTTTAGCAGCTTCATTGTTCTTTCTTCTCCTTTCCCAATAAGCAGCATCTTTGTCGTCCATTGTGCTCGTTGGTAAATTAGAATTTTTACTAACTCTTCTCATTTTGATATTAGTACCTTCATTTGTTTTCCTTACAGATTCGAGCATTCGCTTACGGAATTCACTATAAGCTTCCTTAGATGTTGGATCATATATAAATTCTGCTGGACCAACGGTTAAAGCTAGTGGATCTTTGGGGTAGGCTTTGAAAGGCCTTGGTGCTTTCTTCGATGCATCAGAAGCACTGTTGTCGGGTTTTGGACTTACATTTGAAGGTACTGGAGTAGTTGGTGTTAATGAAAATGATGGAATCTGACTTACATTTTCACTAGACGTAGATAAAGATAATGGAGGAAGTGGAGACGGCGTTTGAGATTCGTTCACGGGCAAAATAAGAGGATACCTATAGGCAATATCCGTCGGCGATGAACACAGCTGTGGATAAATTGGCGGGAACTTCTTTGATGGTGATTCTGATTCCGACGGAGGTGTTACCATATACGTTCTTTCTTCGACGGGACTTTTTCTTTCTTCTTCTGATGAAGTTTTAGGCTGATTATTGTTATGAGCTTCATGACTAGTTGGTGATAATGAATGGTTTTCTAATGATACTGGACTTAAACTATATGATCCAATCTGATGATCCTGTAAAGTCTCTTTTTTACAAGAAAGATCCAGAACTGGAAAATCTGCTGATTTTGGAAATGAATCCGATTTCGGAGCTACCGAAAAATCAAGGGCTTCAGCACTTTCCACAGGAAAGCGGGAGTAGACTTCCATTGTGATGAGTGTATTTGAATTGGCTGTAAATGAAAAATAAACACTTGTGAGATAAGAATCAATATTGAAAATATTTTCAATTATTAGCTCATTATACGTAAAACTTGACTCTACGTCATAGAATAAATGATAGACATATCATTAAGTTACAATAGTTAGAATATTATCCAAAAAATAATTATGTACTAAGACCTCAAAACAGTTTTATAATACCGATAAAAGCTAATATTTAATATTATTGGGATAAAAATTTCCTTCTTACCTAATTGTTAATCCAAATTTACAATTTCACTCAATTCCACAACACTACCGATATTTTCTTATTTTTATTCTTCAATAAATTATAATTTATTGTAGACGTATATCTCTTGATATCACCAAATTTTAAAAAAGATTGAAATACATTTCCAATGACTGAAATACTGGCTGAACAACTTGATGCTCACTCTACACTAGGTCAAAATCGTTTAAGATCTGAAGAGGGATGTTCTTCAGTTATATACGCGGCAAGCTTTGTGACCAAATAGTAGGGTAGGAGGGATTTCCTTCGACGACTCACAGAAACTGAATTTAGGGAAAAAAGAACCGTAGAAAAGAGTGGGAGTACACAAACTGACCATTGGATGATAGTGGTAGAGGTGGCACGTGTCGGCTTGAATTTTGGAAATGTTTATACCTGACTCATAATATTTCCAAGTGTATACAGTACTCTACTGACTAATTATTAATTTTTTGATGATTGGTAACATGTATAATATTAACTTAAATTTGGAATTTTTTTTCCACTTGATTGAAATTTTATAGAAAATACTAGAAAATAATTTGCCTTGCTCCTGGGAAATTTTGCTTTCAAATTTTATTACTTTTTTACATTTTTAAGGGTTACAAAGGTACTAGAATTTTTAAACTGAAATTTTTACAAGTTGGAGCAAAAAATTGTAAAAAGAAGAAAGCAAAAATTATAACTGAAAAATACTGTCGTAATTCAGAGACTCTCGTCAAGTTTTGACTTGTTTATAATAAAAGAACCAGACCTTTTCTGCACCTTTTTAATCCCTCAATATTTTTACGACTAGTCAGAGAGTTGGGAAAATTATACAAGCGGAAAACTATGTTAGTTTTTAAAAAAGCATTTGCTTACTCTAAATTATGATGAAAATTTCCATGTTGAAAAACGCGTACCCATAGCCGGGTACACGTAGTGTAGCACATGAAAATTAGGTAGAGGTAGTACGTTGACCTTCACCTTTACTGATGATTTTTGTAAAAATTAATTCATCATCTTGGTAGTACCCCTTTGAGAGACGTAAGTTCTTTGAAATCCAGTTACTTTAATGCACTAAATCCTTTTCATAAATTCTTTACCTAAAACCTAGACGTGTAAGAAGTAGATATGAGCAGCAGGTCATTTGTGCATTAGAGTCACTTCAGTAGCTACAGGAAGACGATCAACTCTGCAGCCCTTGAAGAAAATGAGTCGGAGGGAGGTACTGTTGAAAGTAGCGTACACGTTAACCCTTTTACTGCAGTAACTCTTCTGCAATAATTCAAAAGGTCCTTTGTTTTCGTTCAACCTGAAATTTATGACTTGTGTCAAAGTCCTTTACCTACATCCATACCTTTATGAACATTTCCACCCATTTGTCTGCTAGGCGATTCCAATCACGAATTTGCGTAAAGAGAGTCATAAATTATAGTATGAGTAGAATTTGCGAAACAAATAGGAATAGGAAAGGGTTAAGAAGGACAGTAAAAGGCTTGAGGGTATCCATCAGGTTTCCTGCTGGCATATTTTCTTATTTTAGTAACTCAAGTCTAGTTATGCGATGCAGTACCTCTAGTCCCTTAACCCTTCACCATTCCAATTCTCCGGTCAAACGATGCATGAGAGTAATGAATATAACGCTTGTTACTGTGATGTTTTATTTATTAATCCTTATTTATTGCCTTGGTTCTATTTACTGTTTTGCTAGTTTCAATTATTATTCAAGGAATCCAAGGAAATTAACAAAAAATCGTTTTGCAAGGTCAATGGAAATTCCCAACTTAGCAACATTGCGTGAGAAAATTTCAACACAAGTAATGATATAAATAAAATTGAAAGAAGAAAAATTAGAACCGTTGGAATACGTCTTATTATATATTGTCAACCCAATAATCATGGTAAATTTAGTCTTCCAAAACCAAGGTGCACAAGACCATTGCAATAAAGAAAAATGTATTCTTTTTCTATCCGTTGTCCATTTCAAACATTTCAATACCATCCTATTCACTGAAAGAACCTACTGGCTGTTTCCCATGTATACAAATTTTTGCTCTTTTAGCCATATAACCCAGATTTGAATAGTGCACGACCAACCCGTTATTTTTTTCAATTTTTCTCTCGATGATGATTTGAAGTATTGGAAGAATAAGCTTCTGTGCACGCTTTTTGACCCCATCTAAAGGTCCCCTTTTCTTTTTTTCACAGATATAACGGTCCTAATATACGGTAGATTTGCGATTTTTTCCAAAAATTTCATGCAACTCATAAATGTCTTCATCATCGTAGGAAAATTGTTATACAAGAATAATCAATATTCTATCAAACGAGGTTTGACAAGAAAATCATTTATTTCATGTCATCATCTTTATTTCAGCGTCTAGAAAAAATATTTAAATATTTAATGTTATAAAAATATTCAACGATAAGTTATGATAATATTGATTATTTTAATAAGTATGATAAAATATTAATGCAATTTTGAATATTTCTATAATCTTGAAAATAATTTTATTTTATTCCTCAATCATTGATAATAAGCTAATGATCATATTCAATTTTAGTTGAAACAATATTCCCATTACATTTGATAATGAATAAATTATCATATCGTTTCTAGACTGCATTCGATTTATTCAGTTTCTTATAATGTATTCTATAGGAATGAAAATAGTGTGTACGTGATTTTTGGCGTTACAACAATGTGCCTCAGGCTTTTCAATGCAATCAAATTTTTGAATAACCTGTAATCGTTATCTGTATATGTACTTAACGATGCCAATGATAATTACCGCTTATTTACCTAAAGTGTACTCAAGTATTCGTCATATCAGGTGAATGCTCGAACAAAAGGTAATGATTAAATTATAATGATCTATACTTCATATCACTGTTAAGGATTTCCCTACAAATGTATTTCAAAGTTATCAAGTTCAAGGAGGTGTGTCTTGATAATTTCAAACTGATGAGAAAGTTGAAAGCACATCTCTTGTTATCTCTTAATATCAAATTCAATTCTAAATACTCCATATCTATTTGCTTATTAATTTTGAACTCAAAGAGCTAATAGACGTATGAATTTCTTCAATTAAACAAATGAAACGTGAAAATTACTGCATTATTAGCAATATAATAATAGTAATATAACCTAATGGATTGAAATATTGTTGATATCAAAAGTTTGTAGGAAACGTTATACCTGATAGAACACAAATTTCCAAGAACAAATAACTTTTGATGGATTTATTTTGATGAATAATAAATCTAGAACGAAAGACTTTTATTCGTAACAAATATCATAAATCTAGTTATTACCATAAGGTACACAATTTATAAGTATGTTTCCTTTACTGATGAATGAGTTGAAGTCTCTATTGTTTTGTTCGTACAACTTACATTTGACCGGAGCATATCACTTTAACTCCAATGTCCGACCCTTCTGTCAAGCAACTCATTTACGAAACTAAATTATAACAACAAAAGTAGTGAGGTAATCTTACAGGTAAGGAAGCTATTAGAATCATATCTTGTATACATTTCGTCCTTGTCCGATTGTATGGATTGACAATTTTATGATACTCTTTCCCTTAAACACAAATGAACCTTTGGGTTCCACAAAGATTAATAGATATTTACATAAGTTCATTGTCCTGCTCTAGCAAATTTTTTTACTCAATTGTGGGTATTTCCAAACTAATTTTCTTCTGATAGTATTATTTGACAGAACTTTTTTTTTTTTTTTTTAATGCCAAAAAAGAAAGATGATCTATTCAAGGGAGGTCAAAGAAAGTTGTACATGTTGGTTAGAACTATTAGGATATTTTCATTCTGTCAATGTGGTTGACCATTCAACATTTTTTTTTTTCAAACAGCATCTCAACGGGAAAAATGACGAAAGAGCATCACCTTCTTTTCAGTGATGGACCATCAAAATAGACAGGAAAAAACATTAAGATGTTTAACACAGTAGGATGTAATCCGAAAGTGATTGGTAGATGTCTATGTTGAAGCATTGGTCAGTTTTGAAGTAATTATTTTTCAATTTATCAAGTGTTAGACCACCGACTTAGTTTTGCCAACAGATATTCTGTGGATTTGCATACTTCCGGCCTCTTTCACGCCCATTTCTTTGACGAGAATACTTTTCATTCTTCTTCCCTATTTCATATTTTTTCATTCATATATTTGTCGACTGCGTACTATAATAAATATATGAATTGGTGTGGTCATGAGTCCATTTCTTTCAATGTAAAATCGCAGTCAAGATCTCTTCTTCTCTCTCCTCATCTATCGTTCAAATCTCCAAGGAAATAACGAGAACACTGAAACGTTTTACCTTTCTTCATATTCAATTTTCCTTGTATAACAAAAAAAATAGAAAAAATGTTCATCATGTTTGTAATCCTGTTCGAGTTTCATCTAATCCTACTAATCAAGATGGTTGTTGGACAGGAAATACTTCCTGTTATGTAGTCCTATTTGCATCTGTGGAAAATCTAGGGCAGCAGGCAAATGAAAAATGAAATCGTAGACCTTATTTCGAAGACCTTAAAGGGGAAAACCGCTATTCAGACTTGTCAACAAAAACTTCTGTGGCGCAGAAGATCGACATGGTGTTTGGTTACTAAGCCTTCTGGTAAAGAGTTGTGTCCTGGCAAAGAAGTGCACTTATACGTTTGTTTGAAGAGATACACACTGAACTTGAGAATATTTTCTGGCCTACTAAACATAATATGAGTCTACTTTCGGGTCTTTTGCTTTTTATGGTTTGAGTACATATATTTTTACAGTCGGCTTTCTGTTTTTACTAGAAAAATAGAAAATCATCGAAAGCAATATTTTAATGGAAAAAATATTCATCATAAATTTTTGTCTCAGTATACCTATGTTTTAAAATTGAACCACTATTTGTGCTTGCTAATTATCAATGCAGATTGTAATCTTAAAATATTATTTCGCAAGTATAGTAGTTGAACAACAAGGATTGGATAATTTGAGTGAAGCCCGTAATTGTGAAGTAGCAGGTTTTGTTACGTTGCAACCAAATACAAAACGTTTAAATTGCTGTCCGAGGTCAGTTCAAGGAGGTAGCTCCAGGGCTGTCATAAAAGTGCGGCCTTTGGGTAGATTCTATTTAGTGATGTCGTTTGTAAGACGTGTTTGATAGCTAAAACATTTATACAATGTTCTTATTGTTTAATGGTACCCATATATCATTCATTTATTCTGAAAATATTTTCCTTGTATGTTCCCACATAACAGCCAAACTGTCATAGCACTTGAAGAAGATACCAGAACCATTTCTGATAATGCAGGTACTTGAAAATGTATTCTAAAATTTTTAGTTTGCAAGCAATTTTATGTTTAGGATTAACGAAAACTCGATTATAGTCCTTGGATTAACTTCCTTTTGACTTTGAAAACGGCTTAAATGAGCTAATGACAACAAAAAATTTCTAAAAATACATTTCTATAACATTGGTGCAGGGGATTATGTATATTGCTGTTTGTAAACTTCATAGAAAGTATAAAAAATACGACTTAAATCATGAAACTGGGAAAAAACCAAATTTTCTACTGTTTCCAGGCTTTTAAAATTAAGTATCTAAAGATAGAAAAATTGTTTAAAAATGTAAATTGATTTAATGGATTTAAATAGAATGTTATGGAACCTCAAATATTTATCTGTATCTAACTTACGGTCATTGGATTTAATTGTATTTCTTTTATCGGTTTAAAGTTATTAGATATTTTAATGATATTATTTTTAATTGCTATGGCCTACATATGTCTACGAATTCTCATTAAAAAATTTTAACGACCTATCCAATAATTATTAAGTTCGGCCATCACGCCCATGAATGAGTAGTTAACTTGGTTAAAATTACTTATCGATATGCTATCCGGCCATCAGTTGGTGATGAGATCTGACGTGTGCGCGTACGAAAGAGCTTTGTCATCGTCCACTTCCCCTCTTCTTTATTATCTATGTTGTCCGAGGTTCTCAAATTTTACAGTTATTTAATATTTATCAAACTCATTATTGTCACACCTCCATTTCATAGTTTCAAAATGACTAATATTCATATATTTGTCGCATATAATGAGCTGATTGTATTACATAGTCGTTTTTTTTTCAACAAATATCCTATCTTTTGATCGAAATCTATTGATTTTTTTGTTACAATACCTAGACGATAATAGCAATAAATTTAATAAAAATGACTGATCAATCTTAGCGATGTTATCAAGATAATACGACAGTTTCACATTTGTCAATTCTTCGAAAAAAAAATTTTGAAAGATTAGAAGAATGAAAGATCTTTCAGTTGAGAACCAGAATTTAGAGGAAAATCCAAAGATATTGGTCAGCATGTCATATGGTCAATGGCCAGTGGTCGCGTGGGTGGACCTAAGTGCAGATGTAGACATAGCAGGCCATAGGCAACCCTTCCGCAATGTTCTGAAAACAGGAGGCCCGTGCTCAAAGCCCTTTCTCTATTGTATCTTTAGTGCCACCCGATGGAAAAACGTATTATGCATCGTGATGTGGAAGGACGTGCGCGTGGTCCAACTAACGGTAAAGTACAAGGGTTCAAGTGATCTGTCGCCTAGTTCTAGTCCATCTGTGGCTTCTAAAATATGTGTCAAAGAACCGCTGATTCGCAGCGAATTTGAACAGCGTGACACACATGAATTCATCATCGCACGCTGACATGTCAAATTATCCCTCGATCTAACAGTAAAGTTTTCAATACTGACCTTGAGCCTTTGTGTATTCAAAAAATATTTATCATCGATCATCGATTTTATTGAGTTACTATTTAATTTTTATTAGAATTAAATAACTAATAAATGATTCAACATAAACACATCAATTGTTTTATTGTCCAGGTTTAATGACATGAGGTAGATCATATTTTCCTCGAACGCATTTCAATTTTACTCCAGGCGTATCTTGCAATCTTCCCACTCGAACAAGAACGATGTTATGTTCTTGAAGATTGTGTCCAATACCTAAGGTTTTAATTAATTGAAAATTAAAATAAAAAATAGTTCAGCTTTAAATTAAAAGATAAGAAAACACAATTCGACGTAATCGTCGTATTTTTTGAACTTTGGAACGTACAAATAAATAAAAATAAGTATATTTACCTGGTACATAAGCTACTAATTCTTTTCCGTTAGATAATCTGACAAGAACACATTTTCTATTAGCTGAATTGGGTTTTTTTGGTTTTTTGATCAAAGTTTTTAGAACAACTCCTTTAGCTTGTGGTGCTCTACCTAAAGGATTAGCGTAATATCGTCGTCTCTTTCTGGGTGGTCCTTTTTTATGTAAATAATATAATAAATTGAACGACATATTCCTAAATTGAGTAAAACCTGGAAAATAAAATCATTTTTTTTTAATATTTTATTTTTTCTAGATCTTTTGTAGAAAAATTATTGTCATTAATATGGTAAAAAAAAAAAAATAGTGTAATAACAGAATACATAATTTAATTGATAGCGTTTTAATGACCTCTGTAAACAATACATAAATTTAAATTTGTAATAAAATAAATAGATTACAAATTGTATTTCAATTACATCATTAGGTATCTAGCATTTGAATTTTTTTTCGAAACTATTAATATGTTTCGCAATATTTTCAATGATATTATGCTTGAAGGCATGAATTACTAACGACCCGATAAGACAATTTCAAAAAAATGAATATTCATTAAATAAACGAGATCAAGTATTGTGATAATGTAGATGTTAAATGTGACTAATAGAAATGAAATTATATTTAAAATATTATATGTCAAATTTTGATTTTATTTGTTCGAGAAGAATATAGAAAAGTGAACAAAAGTATTTTGGTGTGTTCACTATGAAGCAATCTTTAGTTTGGTAACGGTACCAAGAATTGGAAAACTCTTTCGCAAATACGCTTACACACCCGTCGAAGAAAGCCCCATTTGGCTGAAGGAGCATGGAATATGACGAGTTTGACATGTAAAGACTGGTGTGTCCAACCCCCTAAAATTTTCTTCCTTCGTTCAGCCTGCTTTCTTTCTGCTGGTGCATTCGTAAGCTTATTAAGTAACATTGTTACGAAGAGAGAGAGGATGACGCACAGTTGGTGGTCACTCAATTCCTTATGCGAAGTCTAGGAAAGTGGACAACTCTTTTGTAAATCTGGCTTTTTTCTTTAGATGAGTTCTTGGGCGGGAACTTGGTGGATTGTACGTGTCTAAGAGATGCAAATCAAAGCTAGAGATTATTTGCTAAATGCATCATATTATTATTCTTAACGATTATTCAATAATTTTATCAAAGAAAAATATTGACCACATTCATTGAAGTCTTAAGACTTTTCTTTGTTATCCTTTTCCTTTTTAATTATAGTGAATAGAACATTATTAGTAGACATTTTTAAAATTTTTCTTCGAGATTGATGATTAAAAGTATTGAAAAGGAAGCTGAATTATTTTTTGGAGCATCCAATACGTCGCGGTAAAGCTGTCATATTCGACACAACGATGACGGACGAGAAAATTCAACTGGACGATACACCATTGTTGTTCATTTAGAGTTTCGTCGATGACCATCGTCCGTCAATACGACAGATGTACAGAATCTCTACCATTATCCAGGACTAGCTAATCCGGCCTAACTTGGACTTAAATAAGGCAAGAGACCAGCACAAACTCTATTATCCACTGCATGAGGGAACTCTTAAAGCCAACCCTTTTCATTTAGATCAATGTGTGAGATTACATTGCGAAAATTTTCACAACGTCACACTTGTATTGCGTCTCTTTTGATGTATTCATGTTTATTTGCCGCTTTCAAATATACCAATGGTCATTTCTGAGAAAAATTATGAGTCTCTTTTTCAATTCGATGATTCTATTACTGACCATTGCATTATTACTCTAAAAAATAAATTCTTTTTAAATCTATATAACGTAAGAAAAAGGAGATTAGAGTCTGTTATATTCTGCAACGAGTGTCTTTTAGAACCAATTTCAGTAAGCTTGGAACGAAATTAATGTTAGTGTGAGAATTTCACAAAAAAATATTCAAAAATAGATGAATAGAAAAGAAATAATACGAAGATCTCAGTTTGCCTGGGATTCTTTTAATGTAGAGTTTTCTTCTGACAACTGGTCAACCGCAAATGGACATGTCACCCCTTCCAATTTTCATCGATTCGGTCATCGGTCGTGAGTATTTTTCTCCACACTACTCCTTTTCAAGCATTCAATCTTTTCTTTGCTTTTACTGTTAACTTGAAACGAAAAATATCTTTCACGAATGTACCATGACTATATAGGATCTAATAAACAATTTATTTACATAAGATTTGAAATACTTTGTATGTAATATTAATAATTGTATAAAATTATAATTATATAAATTATCTTGTAGTTTTACATATCTTTCTTACTTTGGAGCCATTGATTATTTTATTCGTGAAATTTTTATCTTCAAAAAATTCTTCCAAGATCTAATGTCATCCTTTACTTCGATGAATCAATTTCAATTGTTGTGTATGCGATAGATATATAGAAATACGTGTCTAATAACCAGGCATTTAATGAAGATAAATTCAAATAGAAATTAAATTTAGTATAAAATCAGATAAAATAGGTTGTTGTCTGATTAGTTGAATATTAGATGTTATTTTGTAAGTGTTTTATATATTCAGTAACAGCAGTATCAACTTTTTCAAACCCGAGGCTATGATGATTTGAAATAGATTTGTTTCCAGATATGTAATGATAAGCTATCGTGTTACTTATTTAATGAGAGTAAATTTGAATATTTTACCTGAAAATCCATTCTCGACACATGATTTCGTAAGACTCCACGACTTTGCTGAAACATAATTATGGATTGTTATACTCAGTTCAATGACCCAAGAGTGACACGTGACGAGACGATACTTATAATCTATTGTAATACTATTCAAATTCATTGACATTGAAATACTAATTGAATATTTGGAACAGATAAGGGAAAAAAGAGGTTAGTTTTTTAACGATACAATTAAATCAAGTTAATAATGATATTAGAATACCTTGCTCGACACATTTTGTTATATTAGATTTAAATAAATTTATGAATCCTCTTGCAATGATACTCATGCCCAATCAAATTCTAATTTTTCAAATATATTGAAATAAATATAGAATTCACTGATGGTTTACAATTGTGGTAAACAAGTTTTTTTTACCATTGCAATTACATGCGCTCGCAGTGTCACTTTTATGAACTATTCACTCAAATCAACTGATGGTATTTTACCGACAGTAGATAAAATCTATTGTATTTTTTTTTACCAGCAGTATTTGAAATTGTTATAAATTTCAAATGATTTATTTTAAAAAAATGACATGGATTTAAATAATAACTGTTTTTTGTAATGTTGAAAAATTTTATTTGAAAAGTATGATGAACAAATTACATAGAAAACCAAATGAAATTTTTTGTTTTAGTTTGGTCAATTAATGAACATAAAAAAGTGATGAAATCATAAAAATGAAACAAGACATGTTAATATTTGAAAGACATTTCCACAGAAATGTAATGAAATAAATGATCTTCCTGATTTCGATCTTTCACCAATAATTGTAGTGTCCTAAGCCATGGCCGAGACCACCGTATCCGACACGAAGTGGAGCACTGTAGTGAGGTGAGTTATATCCGTGATATCCAGAGTATCCGTGGGAATAAGCTAAAGGTGCTGAGTAAGAATGACTTAGAACTGGAGTAGCAACTCCGTGACCTAAGCTTGAGTAATAAGGAGTACCTACATATCCATGTCCTAATCCTTAAAGAAGATAAAATAAAGTAAATCACTAATCATGAGATGTATAAGATTTTTCTTAACTACAATCTTTGAGATCAGCTATAAGATTGATCCCAAAAATTCTATTACTCAATTGATTTTTACTTTTCAATTAAATTTAAACAATACTATTACCATTATATCCATAACCATGAGCACCAAGATAGGATCCATATCCAAGACCAGCTAGACCTCTTTTTTCTTGTTTTTTAGGCTCCAGAGCTTGGTCCTCACAGAAAATAGGTGAGGCAAGAGCAAAAAGCATGACAATTATCTAGTGTTTAATTAGAAAAAATTAATTAAACTTTGGTAAACAATTTGAATATATTTTCTATCATACTTACCAAAGTATTCATGATGATTATGGAAGAGTTGTGAATAGATGTGTCTACAGAACTGATCGCTACAGTAGAACTGATGCAGAAGTAGTTAAGACACACCCCTTTTATACTAAACTCAAGTCTAGTCCTTTTCTTCAGTTAGCAGGAGACAGATTGAACATATGATGAAATAAGCGTGTGCCATACTGACAGGATCGAGACGACAGCACAAAGTGCACTTACACTTAGATCTAAAAAGTAAAAAGTAATTTTATAAATAGAAAATTTCATATTGACCTGGGCCATGTGCCTTTCTAAATCAATATTTTTTTTAATTCATCAAATCTCATCATAATTACTCTATTCTATTTTATCAATTGAAAAATAACCAAAGTTATTAGATTAAGTAAGACATGTATTGTTCTGTAATATGTTCTCCAAGAAAACGACTTGATATAAAAAATAAATTATTTCATAAAAGTATTTTCTACCTTCAGTATTTATTATACCCAAAACAATGCATAAACCGTCTTAGTATGCATCTTGAATTTCATGTCTCCAAATGTACTTTCACTGTTACAGATATCATAGTTACGTAAACGACATGAATCTATATGTACATATGTATATAATTTATAGTTTATTTTATTTTCTGGTTACATATTGTAATCATGATTTTTTAAGTATTACGCCAGAGATACTTCCTTGGGGGCGACTTATCTCTTATTTTCGAAGTAACAAAACATTTCCTTCAGTCTTGTCAGTCCAGCCAATTACAATAGACAGAAGTCATGTCATGGGAGACTCGTTGGATAAGAACTCCAGGGCTTTATTTACATTAAATAATTTACTAACGGTGGTAAAAAAATATAGAAAACTATTTTTTCTTTCTTAGAATTAGATTATAGAATGTCATACAATTCCATGTAAGCTAAAGTACAAAGATTTCTGTAGCCAGAGGCTACGTGATAAACTTAACAATCACTAGTCCACTATCCATCCACCTGAATTACGATCATGTTTACGTCTGACTTAGTGGCAAAGATCTATGATTGTTTTTACTCACTCCTAACCATAAATACCTTGGAGCATGCTGTAAATAAATGTATTATTGAGAACACTGAATTGAATTTATAAAAAAGGATAAATAATCGAGGATTGATATTTTTATTATTTCTTAGGTAATAAAAATAAATGGTAGATACTTACAGTAAATGAAGCCTTGGAATAAAAACGCTTAAATACTTGAAGTATAATTGGTATAATTAAGATACACATTCGAAGAGTTCTAAGTTCTTGTCCATTTTGCACTGTAAAGGAAACAGGTGTGAAATGTTAAGTGATCTTTCTGGGATATTTTGTATTTTTGTTAGGTAAAGTTCTACTTTATGTGATGAAATTTTTTAAAGACATTTAATTTTTTACTTTCACAATTATTAAGAACACGTAACAAATAGATTTGATATAAAAAACAATAACTCTAATCACAGTATTATTTAATAGCTCTTATCATGTCTTTTTATACAATAGCATTGTTCAAATATCAATATGAATTGATAGACTGAACAATTCATTTTTATTGACTAATAAAGGTATCTCTTGTTTGAATTTTTTTTTTCTTTTAACATTAATCTAGAAATAATCAACAAATTCTTGAGTTATAAAATATATCTTTTATAAATAAATTTGATATCTATTATGCAATTATTGGGAATATTTTTATAACTCATCGCTTTCTAATCAAGGATTAAACTGAAAACTGTGAGAAAATGTCAGTTACAGTACATAACGAACTCATTTATGAAACTTGAGAATAGGAAGTACATCACATGTTATTTGAATAAGCGTAGCATGAAGATTCGATTGTCGAGATATCGAACGAGACAATGTGGTACAAATAAACCGGGATAAATCCATATCACGTTATTAGTGATAAAATTTACTGAAATAATTAATTGAATTTCACTTACTTAATTATGACAATATTATTTAAATAGTCACAATTTCATAATTTTTATACTTCAATATAAAGTTTTGTTAATTGCTGTTAAAATTATAATAGCTTTGAGTTGTTTGGAGGTTAAGTTGAACGTGACATCAACATGATCAAACTTTCAAACATTCGACCCACAGTGCTTTGTTATTGTTCGAGTTTATTACGAATACCTGTTAGAACTAAAAAGAAAAAAATTGACCAAATTCCAGTTGTTCATAAATGGTTAAACGATAAAGAGCTTTTTGGACCACTTTTAGAGAAAAAAGGAAAAAAAAGAAAGACCAAAAAAAATGTTAAAAATACAATTACTTCTGTAAATACAGAAAACAAAGTGAATATTACGAATGATAACAACAAAGATGATAATAATTACGCCTTATCAGAACTATGTTGGGATGGAAAAAAATCGAAAATCAAAAGAATTCAAATTGTCAAATATGCTCATGCAAACCAGTTTTCGACAGAAAAGGAATCAATTTCTTCATTCAACATGTCAGATACGCCGCATTCCAATGATATAACAGTCGATAAAATTGATAATCAAATATCTCCACGTGAGACAAATATTCCAATTTTGGAAAGTGACAGTGTAACTTCATTTATTTCTGAAGAATTAAATGATCAAATGAAAACGTCTAATTTTACATCTGAAATTAATGATACAACAAAAATTCCTACAAATTTGGGAGACAACTCTATTTCTTCAAATTTTCCTCTTATTGATACAACCAAGGAAGATCAAGACCAGTGGAAAGACACAAAAATTATTTCTACACCCATAACAGATCAAAAGAATTTTTTTCTACCTGGTGTCACCAAAATTTTAAATGAAACTGCTTCAGAAGAAACAAAATTAATTCTGGAAAAGTGGAAACAGAAAATGATCTTACAATTGGGTGAAATCGGCTTTGAAAAATATATGAAAGGTATTGTTTGAATATTTATTTAATTCGGTTTAATAATTTACAGCATAGTGAATTTATTATTTTATTTTTTCACGTAGATCAACTAGAGAATAGTAAATTAATGCATTCTTTAATTGCGGATTTTTTGTATAAAAAACCTATTGATATACCTGATCATTTAAATGACACATTTCGCAGTATGAATTTAATTTTGCAAAATGTCGATAATGTCAGATCTCTCGAATCACACGTTATCCACTCAGATCTTCGTTACCGAGGAATCATCGACTGTGTAGCCCACTATCGGTAAGAACAAATTTATCATATGTCGATAATGAGCCAGATTATTTATTGAATTTTTAAACTCCTAGGTGGCGCTATGTATTCGCTAGAAGCGCGTCACTTTGTCAATCATTATTCTATTCTTTTCTCTTCTCACAAATAAACCGGCTCATTAAACCTCTCTGTGGTTGTTATTCTATTTATTACTGACTGTCATCGACTTCTAGTAATATAAATAAATTATATAAAAAAAGATATTCATTGTAGGGGAAATTTATGCCTTATCGATTGGAAAAAGTCCGATAAAATAAAGACGCTGAGTACTACTTACGATTTGCCTCTGCAGCTAAGTGCTTACGTGGGAGCTTTAAATAGTGATCCGAATTATCCATTCAAAGTAATAGATCATGGAAATTTCTTTAGTTGAATAAAACATCAGGTAAAAACGTCTAAATTACAATAAATGAATTTAAAGGAGGAAATCGGTTTTTTCTAGGTAAAAATGGCTGTATTAGCAATTGCTTACTCTGGTGGCCAACCTCCTTCTGTGTTTGAGTTTTCCGAAGAAAAGCTACAGTTCTATTGGAAAGAATGGTTGAAACGACTTGAAAAATATTATTTAATGAAATCCACCCGAAGTTTGTAATTCATCTCCAAGTAATTCTTGCACAAGCATATTGCACTATACCGTTTACCTTGAAAATATTAAATTTCCCGTTAGAACAGCAAATCATTGTTAACATCTGCTTAGCGACACGCCAGAATCTTAAGAGGGAAACTTGCTTCTCAAGTATACCAATTTTCCGTGAAAATTTAGAAAGGTGTTACGCAAACAGTTTTTGACTGTTACATGGCGACTATGTACTTTTACATAAGAAGTGAAAATTTGAGTTTTTGATAATCTTACACATATCAATCAATTTAAAAAACATTAAAAATATAATATAAATTTTTTGAATAAATTAACAATAATTTCATTAATTAAGCTGAAAAAAGTAAATGTAAATAAGAGTATAATGAAGGGAAAAATTTGAAATTTTTCTACATGTTGACTAACATATAGAGTAATTATAACTTTTGATACTCAACCTTCCTGCCTCAGTATACATGAACCACATGAGGTTGTTGTAACCCCTTGCGTTATTTCGAACCTCCATAAACATTCCAACCCTCTGGGTGCCCTTGGGAACAGTAAACTAATAGTGAGACAGCGGATCGTTAAGTACAGTCTTCTACGGTAGTTGCATCTGGTGGAAATCTTCTCTTCAAAGGGAAAATCTCGAGTAAGCACTTGCAGTTCTTTGTCTAAATCGGTAAAGCTTTACTTCTTACGTACTTACTTCCTACAATCTCTGTACTCATAGTTGTTTTTGTCTTTTCAGTACGTTCATTTTGTTGGGACGATATCCTAGCCCGTAGTAACCGGAAAGTTTCAACTACTTCGTGTAGAGATGATATCAGCACCAGCCTTGGGTAAAGGACCTCTTCATTACTGGACGCGGAAATGAGACTATTACTGATAACTACATCTATTGCTCAATGTACGCTGTCAGCACTACGTTAAAGTGCTTTTCAACCTTTCTCATCTGCATAAAAAGTTATTATCGAGATCATATTACAAATTAATTCATTATAAAAATTTTCTTTTTTTTGCTATAAAACTTTATCACTATTTTTCATTTATATTACGATAACAAATGCGTGAAATATCGGCTTGAACTAATTTATTTAAACATTCAATTTATTAATATGATTTTCCAATAATCATAATTAATTGAATCATAAAAATAATGATATTAAAGAATTTACTCATATAAGTGTGAATAAGTATACCGAAAGTTTAGTTTTGTTAGAACTCATTTTAAATCTTTCGCGTTAATCCTCGCTAATCCGTTGATAACTGGGACATATTTCCCACGCATTCCCTTTTACTTTTGCTCTCTAGTTTTGTAGTCATGAAATTCTATTCCGTCTTCTTTTCTTGTACAATTTTATTGCATCAGATTTATGAGAACAATAATTTATACAAGACAAAGATACTTTATCATCAAAAATAGAAATGGAGAAATTTTTATTATCTTTATAAATTCCTTCGCGAACAGAAATTTTATTTCATAAATAAACTTTCAAAAATAAATCTCTATCGAAACATGAAAATTTAAAGTTTCTTGGTCGGAAGAATAAGAAATTAAAAGAGTGATGCAAAACCATCACGCCCGACTTATAAAGTCCTTACGACTTCCTTACGCTATCTTCATTCTTTCTCAGCAAAAGAGCAAAGTTTCTTAAAATATCCATCAATATTTTACCGAGCCGATAACTTTCACGATTTTCTTACAGTAAAGTGCTTTAGTTGGAAAGTATTTCTGATTAGTCTTTTCATATAAAGTTTGAACATTTACCTTCATACTGATCACTAATATATTTTATTGTTTTTTTGTTCATTTGTTTTTTTTTTCAGCCAAAAGGCTTTCGTGCATAAATTATCGACTGGCCACCCCTCTTGATATTAATTGATAATTGCCGAAGCATCGAAGCGTCCAAACTGGCCGATACCCCACAAAGGAACCGTTTATTTGATGCGGCCAAATGGTTCGGTAAAGTGTTCAGCGCACCATATCAAATGATCTACAAATAGCAAGCAAGAGGGACTGAGGATGGAGCAAGATCAAGGTATAGAAACAAGGTATATTGTCTCTTGGAATCAGTGCTTACTACATATAATAACATTGTGGCCATCATTAAAGCCATTATGAAATATAAAAATCTTGTGGGCTTGCCAACACTAAAGCAATTCAAAGACGTAACAGCGAGTATACAGTATGGCAAGCAGAGAAAAAAATGAAAAGGGAAAAAGAGGCACGCCGGATTTCACAGTCATTGACTCGTGAAACAGCCGCGGGGGCGGTCATGTGGGTATTAATATGGGGACGAAGTAGAAATGTTGAACGGGTGGATTATACTGAGAAAGATGTAGCTAAATATGTATATCTGTATGTCTGTTTGGGAACTTTTACAGTATGTATACTCCCAAGCATACTTGGCAGACCTTTACGCTACTACAGAGGGTTGTATTACTGATCTCTTGCGACGAACCATGAGACATCTCCTCGGACAGCAATATAAACCCGTTTACGACTGAGTTTTAATTATTTATTCGTCAGTCTCTCTCTAACTTTATCCACACTGTCGATCAATGCAACGATAAATTATTTCAAGTCGTTGTTCAAGTTAATGTCACTTGCATTCAATTACAATTACGTAAGAGTTATATTTAATTTTATTTTTATTCAAGATATTTTATATTATGTAATAGTAGTAAAAAATATTCAACTCAATTAACAATTTAACAACCGACGACTAAGTCTCAGAGAGCAATTATTCTTTCTTTTCCGCCCTCACAAAATATCCTCGCGTACATACATCCCTCGTTTTTTTCCACGTGGGAAAGTACGTAATGCGATATACGTATGGTGTATATATGCACCAACGGTTCAACGCGAATGTGTATTGTTTCTCGGTGGAGACTCGAAAAAGCACAACGAAACAGAGAAGAGTAGAAAGGATGAAAGTAGTACAGAGAAGATCGAGGGTGGTAGAATTCCATTTGAGCTTTCCAGTTCAAGTCAAGTCGAGAAGCGATTTTGGTTGTGGTTCAGGAGAGTATAAGAGTAGAACAGAATAATAAAAGGGGATATATACTTGGAGGAATAGAAAGGAATCGACGTACGCACGACGTCGACGCAGCGAGAAAAGGAAGGAGTGACGCAAAGCTTCTCGGTTAAATGAGGCTAACTCGAACTGGAGCTACAGCCGCTGGGCGCGGCCCGGAGCAAAATCGATTTTGGAAAGACGAAGAGGGGATGAAGATGCTAAGGGGAGATGTGCCAGAGAATCTTGGCCTCCCGACGGAGAGGGATGTGATACGGATTACGAGTCGACCTCCCTGCGTACTCTGTATTGGGACCCCACATCCGATCTCTTATCGAGAGGGACCAGCAGCTCTTTCCAACGTTCAGAGGAATGAGGAGAGAAAGTTGCGAATTGAGGGTGATTCAGTCCGTTGAGAGTTGAAGGCTGACACGATAGAATCGAAGAGAAAAGGGTGATCAGGATACTGCCAAATTACCAAACAGAAATTTTCAGTTCACGAAACAATTTTATTTCCTGCTTCCTTGTTAATTAAACTCGATTACTATACTGATTATATCATAATGAGAATCAATATTCAAGTTATTTACTAATTGTTATCGGTACACAATACATGAAGAGTTGTTTTATCAGTAGACAACTGTTCTGTTGTGTGTTGATATAGACAAGTACATCCGTGTATGTATAATTAATTCTATCAGTCGATTTTCAATGTGCAATCAAACGTTTCCAACTTGGAATTGGCAAAATCGATTCAAAGTATTATCTATACAAATTATATTTGGATCTACATGCGTCTATAGGGAAGGTATACAAATAATTCTATTCAATTTATATTCAGTCAATCAATGAATTTATTGCTGGTGTAAAAGTTTGATTTTTAATTTTTTTCATCTAGGTTTTTTTCTCTTAGGAAGATTAAAAATAATCTCTGGATATCAAACTTATGAGTTCTAACGTGACAGATTTTTCCACGGCTAAAAGACAGAGTGACGAGAATTTAATTCGAATATCCTAGTCCTGGTATCTTTTGAAGAAAAAAAATTCTGAACAGAAAAGACATTCTATGTGTATATAGTAAGTGTCTTTGTATCCAGAGACGCTTTCCCTCTGTCGCACGTCGTCCATTCACTGTCGTGGTGGCTTTTCCCTCGGGAATGTTTCTGAGAGTCCTAGGGAACCTCCGAAAAACTTATATATCGCACACTGTGCTGTCGCTTTCACTGTATATATACTATCAACCCCTCACTGGATTGGGGAAAATGTCTCAAGTATTACTGAACTCAGGAAAGCGAATTTCACGCTTTCGCTATAATTTATTCGGTAATTAATTTTATAACTTGGATGCTACCAATATGATTTAAAGTGTGGAAAACATCATGTGATACTAAGCTCTCTAATTTAATTAATAATTATGCATTCAGTGTATTTACAAGTTCATAAATTTGACGAAAAGTTTAAAGCTAGTATTTTACACAATTTATTAGTATTTGTCTTCAAAATATAATAACATAAATCTAGATTTGTGATAAAAGTATAATCATTTTATCGTTCTGGTTTTATTTCTGATCTAAAAGCCGATCATGAAAAATTATTGGTCATAAATGTGATGCCCGTAATTCATCCATGATGGAACATATATTTTCGAGTTTATATTCCAACAAAAAATCGTTTCAAATCATTTGTTAATTAGGAGTGATGAATTTATTGTGTCGTGTTTAATCGTAATACTTAAAAACTATAAGTAATGTTCATTTAATGTAAAAGAAATCTTTATCTTAATGTAGAGATTTTCTTCACTTTTAAATTACGATATAACTCAAACAGAATTATATTGCTTTGAATTTTTTCTTCATATATATGCCAATGATGTCTCGGAAAATTTAATCTCATTCATTCATAAATCAAAAATATAATATAGTAGAAGATGGTGTAGAATATTCACTAGAATAAATAATTGTTGATAAAAATAAATAGCCCATAATAAAGGTATTATTTGTTTCGAGGGTTTGAAATAAAATTGTTAATATGAACAATTCACTCATCAATGCATCATTCGAAAATTAGTTCCTGTATAGATGGAGTCGTTGATGGAACATGAATAGGCTGGAAGACCAACACAAAACGATGAGTTCACGCCCTGTGGTGTAGACGAGCAGTGTAGAAAAGCATGAATGCTTCAGCTTGGGGGTTGAAAACACTTTGTGGCACAGCGTTAATTCATCATACATTTCACTTCTCTTTCTAATGACATTCAATATTGCTGAAGGCATTGGTAAAATTCATTGAACATAAGACAAGTTACGTCATTTTCGTTATCATAGATATATTAATTTATCACCAAATTGTTGATTTGACTTGAGAAAAAAATTTATCTCTTTTCTGTCTACAGCGATGTGTCACTTTTCTTCACATCATCAAATTTTCATTCATTGTGTTAGCTTTTCCCTCGCTCCATGTGGTTTCTTTTTACGAAAAGTTGTTTTCCTTTAAGTCAGAGTATTCTCGTCTAACACAAAGGCATGTTCTCGAGACCGCGGTGGGAAGTTGTGTACCGAGGGTTTGCGTGACAATAATTAGATCAGCCCTCGAGTATATTTGAGAGGGTGAAAGCGTTTGGAAGTGTACATAAGCCATGAGAATAGAATAGATAGAGAATGAAATAAGAGCTAAATGATCGCATATGATGAAGTAATTGCTTGAACTGCGGGTGAACACTTTAGTAGATTCACTTCAATCAACTTTCATTTCAGTTGTAGGTCGAGTAA